AGAGGGCTAGAGCACCTCTACTGTGAAGATGGGCTCAGAGAGCCAGGGTTGCTCAGTCTGGAGAAGAAAAGATTCTGGGGAGACCTTAGAGCAGCCCCTCCTGTACCTCAAAGGTGCCTGTGGAATTCTGGAGCAGATAGGACATATAGGAGTCATGATAGTGATAGGACAAGGAGTAATGGCTTTAAACTGAAAGAGGGGAGGTTTAGATTAGACATTAGGAAGAAATTCTTTACTGTGAAGGTGGTGAGACACTGGAAAAGGTTGCCCAGAGAAGCTGTTGCATGCATCATCCCTTGAAGCATTCAAGGCCAGGTTGCATGGGGCTTTGAGCAGCCTGCTGTAGCAGAAGGTGTCCCTACCCATTCCAGGGGACTGGAACTAGATAATCCTTAAGGGTCCTTCTAACTGAAAACATTCTATGATTCTATTAATTTCCCTCATGTCCCTACTTGTCCTATAAACTGGATGACTTTCAGTGTTAAAGCACAAGTCTGAAAAAACACCAAAGTCCTGTGTGCATACCATGACGGCGGTACAAACAGTATATGTATTTCATTACTGTTTCAAGGATATTTGACTTTTCTGGTTAAAACACTGATTAGCTTTTATTCAGGCAGGATGTACACTTAGGTGTCTCCACCTGCTTACATCAGTGATAAAAAGAGAAAAAACTGAAAAAATAAATGCATCACCTTTAACCCCTCTTGTTTTTCACATCTATTGTTAGAAAGACATTCAGACTTCTATTGCTGCAGATTTTAAAAGGCTTAAAGTTCATTTGTGATTACCCTTTGACACTATGTTAACAAAGACACAAGTAAAAAGGAAATTTCTCAGCAATAACTGCCCCCGGTTTTGGTTCATGCTATTCCTTGATCTGAAATAGGCAATGAAATATGACTTTCAACCTATTTTTCATAACACTTCCTATTTCCTCTCTTCTGTCTTCCAGTGGTCTCAGAGATTTTCAGAGTGATCCAAGATCATCAAAAAAAGACAACTAATGCTTTGTTTTAAACTTACTGTTATCTACTGTGTTCAGTCCACAGGTGTACCAGAAGAAATTGTAACACTTAATATTTCTTTTCAGGACTTGCAACTTTTGCATAAGAAATGAGTCTGAGAAAACGGGGGAAATTCCTATTTCTTAGTATATTCTCTCATAAGGCCTCCTCTGTTTTCATGTGTTATTTGTTATTAGTAAATTATAAACCCTAGTCCAAGTGTCAGTTGATCACTGAAATGGAAATGTTTCAAAAATTTTCCTTGCCTTAACTCAATTTCTGTTAAAAATGTATTGGTATAGAATGAGAGGAAAAAAAGCATTACAAATGAAACATCCATACATTGATTGTGAAAACAGATGCAGAAATTGCTCTAGACTTGTACTACTACCAAGGGATTAACTTTATGTGCAGTTATCCTGCTTTACATTTTAGCAAATTTAGTTAGCATTAGTTATTTCTACTACAGTAGAATGTATGTGTAGATCAAGGTTTAATTGAGGGTAGACTTTAACAGCAAGATAAAGATCCAAAGGTCCTTATCAACCTTGAATGAGCAGAGCAGATGACATGGATATGGGTAGACCTTTGGTCTTAAATGTAAGCTACATGAATCATTGAACTTTTGCCTATTCTCACATATTGTTTTCTTATCCAGCTTTTCTCAAGGTATTCTAAAAAGTTTCTTATTGCTTGTAGATATCAAGTACAATTACTATGGAAATAATAAGCTCCCTTTAAACTTATACTCTTTGTGGTCATTGTATATGACAGACTTGGATAACACTCCAACACAAAGAGGCTGAACATGAGACAGTTGCAGAGAAGCTCTCTGGTCAGGTGATAGAACTCTAGTCTGGAAGCTCTGGCACCACATTTTAGTTACACTGAGTCTATGAACTTTAAAATGATGGCTTGATACAAAGCCAACAAACATCACACAGGTACGTCCAGTAACCATACAAACACCATTTTTTCCCTCTTACTGTTTTAACAGACACATGGAAAAATAACAGTAATACCAAGCCACTTGAATGGAAGTTCTTAATTTGAAATCATAGACATGTTATATAAAGTCCTACGGGAAGCCCTGTGTCTTTTTTGCAGACATTTACACTGAGGTTTTTTAAGGAGTTTAAGGCAGATCCTTCATACACAGACTTCACACTGAAATTACTATTAATGCCATTTGCCTGATTTTGAGAGATGCAAAATATCTTAAGATAACATACATTGCTGCTGATCTTCTGAAACCTCATCTGTGCATTACAACATTATGGACTGAAAAGTCTGAGGCACAGCAATAGCTCAACCTCCTCAAATAGGTCACTGCAGCAGAGATCAGAATCACAGAAATCAGGGGTTTTTGTCTCAGTTCAACAGTCCTTTCACTCTACAAAAACTCATGTTGCAAACAAGACATCATGAAATATTGTGCCCTTTAACCATATTTAGGATTATTGTCTTCTAGATTTCACTTTAGCAAAATATCTGGTGTTGACTACTTCCATATATATATTTCCCAGAATTTTTTTATATTGTCATATTAAACTCTTTTAAATATTCTTAGCACCAGACTGAAGCAACAACTAATGATGCCTTAAGGATTACTAGACTGTCTGTAACCACAACCTGAATGTTTTTTAGGGCTTTAAAAACACTTTTCAAGCCTGAAAACAACTACAGTAACTCTCTGCAGTATGTCCACTCTTGCATTAGATTGAATTGTGATAAATCATTATTTAGAGGTGTTGGTTACAGCTACGTTGCCAAGATGCAAATATATGTCATACTTCAAGAAGGTACTCAGTCTCTTCCTCTTGTTAAATTAAAAATAATAATAAAAACCACAAAACAAATACCAGCCTATCATTCCCAAACTTTTTGTAATTACTTTCAGTGTTGGATGAAGAAACTGTTTTCAGAGAGTTCACAGATAAACTGTTAAGTAATTTATAATTTATGATAAACTTGAAAAAAGATTATTTTGGAAATTTAAAACCAGTCTCCCTGAAAAACAAACCTGTGAATGATTTTCAGAAACTTAAAGCTCTCTCCATAGTTAACAATTTAGAAGTTTAAATAACTTTTAAAAAAGGTTATAATAAATGTGCTTTCTCTTATTCACTGCTAGTATGCGCTGATTCTATCATCTCTATGGACAGATACAATTCCATAGATGAGTTATTTTCAAGAGAGATGATTCTCATGGTTGAGAAAGCTACTTTACTACTCAGCTAATTTTAATGTCATTATTTTGTTCACTTTTACTATGGAAGCAGTCTTCCAAATGTTGAAAGCTGGTTTCAAGTCTCTGCAGTCAGGCATTTCTTTTTCTCCTTTGGTTGGCACTCTTTCCCTTCCTTATGCTATCACTGTACTTGGGAGCAAAATACTTGGCTGAGGAGAAGGCAAGATTTCAATTTCTGACAGCAGCACAGATTTACACTTCCTCTGACCAAGCAAAACATGTATCTTGACTGCAGTCAAGATCAGGCTCTTGTGCATCAAGTGTTGTTAATTGCAAAATAGAGGAATCAAGTGTAATTACACTAGGGATTCCAAGGTCATCAATTTGGACATCAGCAACTGAAGGGACTTTTGCAATAGCATCCTTCTCACGTTACTGTATTTTATGTTAACTTCATGTTTAAAAACAAAACAAATTTTGCACACATAGCAGTGGAACATTTTACAATGTTTATATCACATTCTTTCCCTTATCTCAGCCAACCTTGCTTCTGGGAAAGAGAGCTCTGGGGTGAAATTTCTTTTTTACTGCTCTGCTGGAGCCACTATCTCCTTTCTTCACAAGTGGGTCTTGCAACAGATATATATGCTGGGTACAGGACCACCTGGCTTATTCCATATCACATATCATCTGCAAGTTGCCATTCTCAGCAGCCTCCCTCCCATATGCACAACCACCACCATATATACTGTAATTTCACTGCTCTGTCTTTCTAGCTCTTCCACCCCTCCTTCCCTTCTACAATTGCCAGAGACTGCTTAGAATGACCAAGAGCAATTGAAAGAAAAAGTGGTGAGAGTGGAAAGGGAATACTGTTGGCTTGCTGTCTCAAATGTGGTTTTATGCATTTAAATTCAACATGAGTGCTAAAAAACCAGCATTTTTATATTTTGCAAGTTTCCTGTGAAAAAGTGGAATAAAGCAATGACCTAGCTAAACTTGAAGACCGTGTTTCATGCTTCTTCTTAAATATTTTTATTATTTACAATTCCTTCCAACTATTGATGCAAATGAAATAAAGTAGTATTTAAATTCATCACATTCCAAATATTCTTTAGGGAGATGGAAAAGAGGAGTCTGTGCAATGTCAAAATCAAAATATAAGCTAACAGGGAGCATAATAATATTGCTTATGCCTAAGGTATCGCCATTAACAAAAGGTAAAAATGTTGCTGTAACTTTTTTACCACTCATTTCTCTGTCCTTTCCTAGAGCTTTGCCTTCTCAGATTTCTAGATACAAGAGAGCTAGTGTAATCTGGCTGAAAGCAGAGAGAGATATGTGTTATACATAAACATAAGATATAATAAAAAAATTACACACCTGAACAGTCATGGACTACACAAACCCAAGCACATGCAGCAAAAAAAAAGACCTAACCAGTGCTGAAACAGAAATGGCATCCAAAAATCTCAGGCCCCTATGATCTTTACATACAGTGACTGGGGAAAAAAAGGCACAGAGCAACAGCCTCTACAATATTTCTCTGTTTGTGACTTATCTTAAACCTCTCTAAAGACACTGGGATATAGAATGTACTTCTCTTTGATGTAGCACTACGTAAAGGACACAAGTGTCTCCTGTATTCAGCTCTTTGGCACATCAATCACAGCAGCCAGAAGACTGCTCAAGGGACTGGCACTGTGACTGTGCATTTGTCTAATGCTAAATCACTTCAGGCAAAAATTTGCTGTCAACAAATATCAAGTTTATAGGAAACAAAACCACTCAAAAATACTCACAGCTTTGGTTTGGCAAGCACAGGTGGTGGCTCCTTTGTGGGTGAAAGCAAGACAGCTGGAGATGGGATGGATTTATCACCATTTGGCTTGCTGCTAATCATTCCATTTACTCCATGAAGAGGATGAATACCATTTGATTTTTCCTCAGGTGAATTGAGCTGTTGTTGAAGGTCTATCACACCAGGTCTCAAGTCAGTGTTGTTTGCTTGGTGGGTATCTGTATGTTTCTTAGGAGGAAGCTCAAGAGAGCTAATTTCAGCTGGAGGAAGTGGTGAGAAATGATGGAAATCATCACTAGAACATTCCAAGTTGGCTAAAAGAAATCAAAAAGAATGTCTCTTCAACAAGTTATAGACAAAGTACATGGTAAATACAAGGTATATTTTCAGTTTTTTAAAGGTGAAATATCTTTGGTTTTATAAAGGCATTTTTCTAGTCCACCTATTGATAATTTATGCTGAATTAGATTAATGGGTGGCTATTCATTTTCTGAGTGTGCCTCATGGGAAAGGCACAACTAAAAACCTTAGGGACCTCTCTAAATCTATTTCAGGAATCAAGGCACTAACTGAGATTGGCAAGTATGGATAACAACAGCTAAAACAGGACTTCCTCTTCCTGGAGTTTCAGGATCACTGAGGAACAAATAATTTAAAAATGCTGAAGAATGCATGTATACATGGCAAGTTTGCAATGGCAGCTGGGTTAGTGCATCCCATGACAATATATATGGAAACATATCATTTCACAGTGTTTTATTTTACAGAAGGACACCTCTAGTAGCATAGTTTCATATCTTTAATTTTGCCTCTGCTGCCATCTAGTCTTGAACCATAATGCTTAAGATATGCCAAGTTATGGCAGAACTTTAAAAATCTATTTCACATTAATAAAAATATTAAACTAGGGAGTGAACATAAGAAACATTGTTTGCTTTATATGAATGCACTGAGGTTGACAAACCCCATGTCTTACAACTACCATTTTCCACAAAGAAAGCAGAGTAACAACTTCACAGGTAAATTAATTATGCAAGATTTATGTATAAACACTCCTCTTTCTCTTTGTCACATACCTGAGCAGACAGTCAGTTGTGCACTGCTTGTTATTGAACCATGTTCATTTGTTGCTGTGCAGGTGAAAATTCCTGAATCTTCAGGAAAAGTTTCTGCTATTACAAGTGTACATATCTCCTCTGGAAATAGAAAAATAAAGTGCATAAAAAACTATTTAAAGTACCATGTAGTGGTTTTTGCACTGTATGTTAAAAGGACACCAGAAAGTAGAATTTTACAAAGAAATACTGTGAGAACTGCAGAACTTCCAGCATAAATGGCTTTAAGGAAAATAATTTTGCATCTGAAAGAAGTAAATTCATCAAGCTAAGTTTTCAAAACCAGCTTGAACAGTAATTTTGCACTTACAAGTCTGCGCAGTCATTTTACGCACTCAAAGTTTTTTTAATGCAGGATAGTACTAATTAATACAAATGAATGTAAAGGTTTCCAGAAACAATTACCTTTGCAAGCTCTTTGTACACCATCAGTACAAATGTCACACAATTCTTTCTTTGAGTTTTTTTCTGTATTTAATGGAACATTCAGATCAAATCCCATTTCTAGAAAAACTAGAAAACATTTTATCACCACTTCCAATTAACTTTCCTGTGCATACTAATCAGAATTAACAACTCCAGATGCATAAATATTCCTCTTATGCAGAGTTTGGGAAAATAATTTCTGTCTTTGTCTGCACAGCAGTAAGAATGGATACATTAAAAATATAATAAAAAACAGTGTCCCCAAAACCTCTTCAGAATGCTGTGACAGACATATTCTGTAGCTGTTTTAAATTTGTTCATTCTACTTGGATAAGCCATGGTATATGCTTTGATTATACTAGGATTTCTGTCAGAAAATTCGTGTGAAGTATATTAGGTTGGGTCTTACAGTGACTTTTACAAAATCAGTTTTATCCATTTATAATAAGCTCACAACTATTTAGGCATATTTTTCCAGTTTCTTCGAAGAAGTCACTTTGTTTTATTTCTACTTGCAATGGTACTTTTTAAAAAGATGTCACAGTACAGATAATTTAAATAATCCTACTATTTACACAACATACACATAAAATTTTATACCTGGACAATGTTCCATTATGCTACATTGCAGGTCTCCTTAATTAATTCAGAGTTTATTTTGTTTATGCTGACTGTTTAGTCTCAAAACCAAAGCAGAGAAGTTTTATAATGTTCAGTTTGATTAAAAGAAAAAAAAAAGAGAAAAATGCATTTTGCAATTTGGATACTTAGACACAATCCCATATATTATCACAAAATCAGTTAATAAAAGCATACTGTAAAATGAGGAAAAGTACTTTAGAATCTAATAACTTCCATATGAAAATTATTCTGTAGAAGAGGTTCAGTAAGGTCAGCTTCACTTCTCATAGCTCAAATAGGAAAACATTTTCAAATAGTGGTTGTTTTTTTCCCCTGTGGAATGACAGACCACTGTCTCATTTAGACAGTTAACAAAAAAGTTACTAATTTTTTCCAATTATAAATGACAATGTATCCAAAAGCTTCCTGTACTGGAAATGGGCTAAAAATGAATGACTGACTAAATGTTTGGCTCAGAGTTGGTTTTCAGACAGCAGAACATGCCTTTATTTTTGGCATCGCAAACCAGTCATTCTGTGTAGCTGCTAGAGTCATGTCTGGTAACACTGTAGCACGTTGGATCTTATCTAACACAGATGAAGATTAATGACTCATGAAAGGTCTTATCAGGAAAGTAATGGGTAACACAAGCTAGTTTTTGAACTACTGAGATCAGCTTTTTTTAGAGCCTTGGTGTGTCATAAGCAGTTGAAGCTGTATTGTTAACCACACGTGCGTATTCCTGGACTGAACTGACCCTGGGGATGTAATCTTATACAGGCAGCATTCGAATTTCCTGTTCATTTAACAGAATGCTGAAAGCTGGGTCTTTCAGGACTGCAAAAGAAGATCACTCCACCAGGCTGAGAATTGCTCTCTGAATGAGGTCAAAGGCAATATAAAACACAGCAACCAGCAGAAGTCTTATTTTTTAAACAGCAGAGCTAATTAATGCATAACATTCTTCCAGATTTTAAGTGTGTAAAATGATCACATGAGAAGAGCCAATCTTCACTCTTCAGTGACAAAAGAATTCTAATGAATTGTAGAATGATGTGCTTTGCTTGCTGACGAGGTATGTTTTAAAATTATATATGGTAGATTGCATATATCTACCATAGATTTAGATCTAGATCTAGATATAGATCTTTGTAAAAAAATTCAAAGTAAATTAATGATGAAAATAATCAGAGATTAAAATTTAGTTTTTTCAACCAGACAAACAAACTGCAACACATTTGTGATCAATCATAAGAAAACTGGCTAAACTGAAAACATGGAAATCCTAAGAATAAATCAAAAGGCATCATGGGCAAAAAGCACATGTGAACAACACATTGATATCTTTATTGATTTTCCTTCTCCAAGCCAAGAATCACTCACCCCTTGCTAAAAGGCTTACTACTGTGGAACACATAGAAATGAAACACTAATTTGGCAAAAGAAAGGTTCTTTCAAGATTTCCGTAACACACTCTGGATATACTCAGTGTTCTGGATATTTTTCTACCTTTACATCCTGACTTATGCAATTATTTTACTTTCTGGTACTGCGCTAAGCAGAATCAGAAGATTTGAGGGAAATAATGTCTGTTCTACTTCCTGGCGTTCATCAGCTGACAAATAACTTCATCACAGAAATGTGTTCCAGAAAGCAGCACTGAAATGCTGTTCTCAGGGCCTTAAAACATATTTAACACTTGACTAAATGAATACAAAAGCATTTTGTTCACTGAAACATGTAAAATGCTTAGGCATGCAAGTACTTGACTGTTTTGTAAGTTATTTAGAAAGAACGATTACATTTTACACAGCAATTCTTTCCCTTTATGGCTTATGAGTCCATTAGGAAGAATAAACTTTGGTAAGAGAGAAAACTATTGCATTTTAACAAATTTTATTACTGGCAGTGTGTTTACTTCAGAATGTTTCTCTGTAATACATTAAAGGTAGAGCAATTCTTATATCTGCAACTTCATCTCCGAATGTGACCATTAGCTTCCTCCACTGTAACACACACACAGAGCTGGGGAAATAAGTACAGTCCCTTGCTGGTAGCTGTTCATTCCTGTGCAATGAACAGAGAAATTTCCAGAGCTGTAGGTTCAAAGCCGTAAGTTTTCTGATACACAGGGACAGTGGGAAGTCACAGTTGTGGTTTCCTGGTAAAAATCCAACAAAATAGATTGCCAGCTTGTGTCCTATTCTCTCTTATGTTCCACAAGTGTTTAATTCCAGCTAAACTAAAAGCAATAGGCCCATCAGGTTACTTCTCATCTAGGTATCTGTGCATTTTTTATATAAAGAAGATAGAAAAGAGTGAAAATAGAGAAGAATGTGCAGAGTAGTGTAATAAATGGTAGTATAGCAGAGCTGTAGATGCCTTAGCTTGCAATAATGTAACAAAAAATTTATTCAATTTGTCTGTTTCTGATTATCACTATCGTATATACCTTTATCCAGTCAGACAGCTGTTCTGGCTAATTTAACAGGCTTTATGTTACTCAAGGAATGAACAGTAAAATTTTGAGGAGATGCACAAGACTTACTATGTTTGAAGACATCTCAATCAGCACTTAAAAAAGACTGGTAAGAAAACTGAACAACAGCAAATGTGATTGTGAGCAATAAAATGCAGTTTTAGGGTGGAGAGTCTAGGTTACACAATATGTAATCAATAACCAAGACATCTGCTATCTAGCCAGATTGGGTACAATAAATGGGAACACTGCTATGGCAGCAAAAACCTTAGCCCCCAAAGCATTGTTCAAGTTTGAGGAGAAATTAATCCTCACATAGTACAAATCAGATCAGTTGTTTACTTTGAATTGGGAAGCATCAACAAGCAAGGATAGTTGTAACAGTCAGACTTAAGATGAGGTCACTGACAGGGGCAGAATTCTGTAGGTATCTTGGGAGCACGGAGTACAATTGAAAATTTAACTGACAAGTGATAATATGTAAATTGATGAGACCACCTTAAATGAAGGGGAATTTTAGCCTATTTTCAGTTTTTTTCTTAATCTGACTTGAGATACGGCTTATAGAAGATTACTCTCTCCAAGCCCTTGTTTGCTTCTCAGCAGTGAAATAAGAATACAGATCCTTAGTCATAATTCTCTTATTTTCACTAAAGAGTGCAAGGATCTGGCATACATGTTAACCTACCAAAGTTTCTATGTTTTGAATTTCATCAGCTACCAGAAAGGTGATTTTCTTGGTGCAGGGAAGCAGTAAGGATTTCTGTAACATTTGCCATGTATTTTCAGTTTCAAACATTATGTAGAAATAGGGAGGAAATTCTAAAGGAGTTACTAACTAGAGTGGAGACTCTGGAATACAGTAAAACAGGAAACAAGAAAGCACAATCCAAGAGAAGTGATGACTATCTTTTGAGATGTGTTTTGTGAACATACACAGTATTGTACTTAGGAAAAAAAAGGTATATGTGGCAATTCCCTGGCAATTTAAGCAAAATTACTTCATACAGTTTTCTTACATGCTGTTAGACAATCGTTCTAATGTAATTCAATACAGTTTGTGGCTGTCTCCAGACAGCTGAGTAATGGTCAAAATATCAACAGCTGGCAAGTGATTCCATGGGATTTTTCATTCTCAGGCAGCCTGTTTTTGAAGGATTCAATCAGTATAAAGTCAAAATGTCCAAGAAAGAAGTACAGAACAGGTAATTTGACAAACTGTGATGTTGGCTTTGAGTAATCTGACTAGCTATTAATTCACAAAGCAGTCTGGAGGGATTTGCAATGCAAACTGATTTCTGTCTAGACAGAAAAAGGAGTGCAAAACACATTAGAGTAGATAGAGTATAACAAAAAAAAGTAGCCAAAAAAACTCCTTTGCTTCCTAATTTCTTACCTGTGTGAGTTCATTGACTATTTTTCCTTTAAATCATTAGTACTGACCTATCAAAGGACAACCAATGTTATTGAGTGCTATAGTGTTTATTGATGGTTGGATTTTGGTTGACAACCAGCAATTAAAGTCACACTACAACTTGCTACAATTTATGCAAAATTCCATGGATGTTTTACACTTTGAAAAATTTTTAGAAAGCATGTCCATCTTTCAAAATTCTGAATACTTATCTAGAATATGTGTATTTCCATGTCAATCTTGCATATGTATTAACCATCTGCATTGAATAGCAGTTATGTATTTGCTCATGAAAAATTTCCTCTGAAGGCATTGTTTAGTCTGGCTTCTAAGAGTTTGCATTACATCACAAACCAGTGCTGCATCTATTACATTTCTGATAACCGTATCCATGTTCCTGTTGTACAAATTTTAAGATTTTCATGACATTGTAAAAGCCAGTGTTACATATTACCAGTAGTACCATTAATATACAAAACATTGCTCATTATTTATGCCAAAAGGAAATATTTACATTGTGCCCAAACTTTATTTACGTTCCCTTTGCACGCACAAATTGTGTCAATTCCTAGGCAAATAAGCCAGTAAGTGTACTGTCATTAATTTCTGTAGTGTGTAAGACACTGCACTATTTAAGATACTACATTACTTAATAGGGCTTAGTAGGAAAAGATAAGTGCACAAATCTTAAGGGATAGTATAGTATTTAGCTCAATGATTCCAGGGAGAACAAAATACCAAACTGAAATTCTTTCACAGAATGAAAGCATGGGAAGGCGCTCATAAATATATATTGCAACATAATTACAAGCATGAAAAAAGAAACAATCCACCAACAAACCAGCCAGACTGCATCAAGCATTCACTACTGTTATGTCTATAAAGATGCAACAATACAGATACTAAAATTGTTTTGAGATGTCTTCCTATTTTTGTCTTGCCAGCTCCCTTAAGAATGGCATGAGATACCTCGACATTAAATAACTTTTCTCTACTTGAGAAGACTGAAGACATGCAACTTTCATATAAGAATTCATTCCCTAGTACCCTTTAGAAGACTTCAGGTATCTCTTCTCCGGGTCTGCAAGCTACCCGGAAATGGGAAGGAGAATGTTCAGCACTTTCAACATGATAGCGCAGGTACGTGAGAGGGAGGGCAAAGTGATGATCTCTTTGGACTCAGAATCTCACTTTCTGTTTCCTATTTCAGGCAGCAGTTATGAAAGCAAGTGGATAATTTCATGAACTAATACATATACATGAACTAATAACATTCTTACGTCTTCCATAGCAATAATTGTCAGAAAGGCTATACAAACCTTGCAACTAACAATATGAAAATTAGTTGTTTATGAAAAAAAATCTTCTAGCACTCAATTATCGCACAAACAACCCTTTTCTTTCTAGAAAAAAAGTGCTTCTCCTTTCTACTAGATGATGCTGCATTCCTACTCTAAAATATTTAGTTCATCTAGCATTATACACAATAGGTTTATTAAAGAGGGTGAAAGGGTAAAAAAAAATTACCAAAACTAAACGAACTTTCATGACTATGAGTTTTGACAGAAGAGTGTTAAACTGGATATTAAAAACTCTAAGATAGGTTGGCAAATTTGTATTTCTTAGAAACTTTTGTGAAAAATTTCACTCCTTTCAGATACTATCTATCATTTTAAAGGACAAATTGAACACAGTTCAAGTGATTTTGTAGGAAAGAAGCTCCTAGTAAGAATGAGCCAGATATACCAGGTATGATTCTGATAATGTTGGTAGATTAAATCTAGAAAAGATTTTGCTACTTTGACACTAAGTGCTAGGAGAAATGTTCCTCTGAGAAGGGGAAAAATGTCAACCTATTGATCAGATTGTTTTTTTATTTTTAAGATATCAAGAAAACAGCTAAACTGGAGACTTATTCTGTATTATGTATTACAGGAAAATGTTCTAAGAAAGATCTAGAATTAAACTAATTTCCACACAAATTTATTATCTTTTATTTATTTTGTGTTATGACTAAAGTTTGTGTTATGACTATAAAACACTAATAGCCTATTGCTAGCACTTTGACATGTTTTAATTCCTCATTAGAGGTTAATTTGGTTTTCCAATACTCTTCTTTCCTTCATATGGCTCACATTTCCAGCCTCCACAAATCAAATCATTCAGTCACATGTATTCAGGGCATCAGCTGATACTGGAGCTGATGACGTTGCACACCATGATTAATAGTATTAACTGTTAGGATAGAGCATGAACACCTGCGTGTGTATGCAATCTATATATGTATAATGGACATGAAGTAAAATAGATATATAAAAATTTTGTGAAGTAGCAAAAAAATTAGTGAATAGCTGACAAAGAAAAGATTTTTCCTCTTTCTTTCCTCTCATTTCCATGGAAATTAAAGGAAAGCTGCATTTTTCCTAGCCTGTACCCTCATAGTCACAGTGATACTTTACAAACATCTCTCAGCTGCTAGGTCTGTCCTGCCTGTCAATTCAACCCCTCAGAGTTAAAGCATCCCCCCACTTCTAGCATCCTTCAGAGACACTCTTTGGTAATACTCAGATCTGAGATAGAAAAGTTTTGGAGAGAGTGTCATTAACACTCTCTCCAAATTCAAGAATATTCAAGCACAACTAGCCTCTCTCTTAAAGCAAAGTTCAGACTGTATTGCTGTGCTCTCTTCTAAGTGTTAGACTTAGAAACATCAAAGATTATTCTCAGTCTTTTAGCATCCACTTACTATTCTAGAATCTCTCCCAGTATATATTGATGTATAATGGGAAAATTAAGCAGATAAAACCTGCAGTTGGAAGAACACCTTTTACTTGCTGAAATCTAGGACTTTAATCTTGTGAATAGGCTAGAAAAATTGAGTCAGTGCCTTTTTATTTTTCTTTTTTTTTTCTTTTTTCTTTTTTTTAGGATCAGGTTTTACTTATGTTTAAGACACATCACATCTGCCAAGCTGGATTGGTAAAACTAGCACTTAGTGGTTAGGTATTATGTAATTCTTATGAGCACCATTTGGGTAATGGAATTTTGTGGGACTTGTCCTTTTTCCCTCAGTAGCAAGCAAACCATTTACTCCCCTTGCTGGTCTAAATGGAATTTACTGTTTAACTAATAAAGGAATTGATGTAAAGGACAGAGTACAGTATGGGAGGTGTGATAAAGCAGCATTGTCTTTAAGGGGGTTTCAGTTTACCAATGTTCAGCAGAAACACTTTTCTATTTATGGCTTCAGTACAAACTCAAAGAGCTAGTGAATCAAGAGATTATTTTTTCATATGATTCTTACCAGGTTCAGTGGCAGATCGTGGCTCTGCATATCACATCATAAGGAAGGAAAACAAACAAGAAAAATTTATTAGAGTTTATATTAATAAATATCAATGTACTGAATGAACATATACTGAAATATTGTAAATAAGTAGAGAACCTGTGCAGACATTACAAAATCAACAATATTTAAATTGTTTGTCAGTAGAAGCAGTTCAGTTATTACTTCTAGCCATTAGCACTGAAATGGGAAGAGGAAAGGACTCTGTCCAAAACTGAATCCTGACAGACTAATTTCATGATACATTCCTTTTTCCATCCTGTATTAAAAGCAGCCACTTCATATTATTGCCTTAGCTGGTTTCGGCTGAGTGCAGCTGTGCCAGATGTGCTAGAACTTCAAGATAAACTGGAGTCAAAGGCAGCCAAATGGGATGCCACAACTGGCACCCCTAATGTGTTTTTCCTCAGTCTCTTTGGCAGCAGAGTGCAGGCCAAGTTGGCTTTCACTTGGAGTGGTGTTCAGTACATCTGGAATTGACTGAGGTGAAGAAAGCCAGAACCTCTTGTTGCTAGCCAGGCTAGAAACAAGGAGAGGAGTTAATTGCAATGTTAAACCCAGTGCTAGGGTCCAGTGGGACCATGGGTGAAGATTGTAATGGTAATATCTTTAAATTCTTGTAACCTGTGATTTGAGTTGCATGTTACACGAATTACTGTACCAGGAACAATGTGAAACAATTGAGGAGAAGCCCTCACATGAAGCAGCGCAAGGGCAGTGATGACCTGGCCTGGGCTGGCTTTGGTGCTCAGTAAGTCCATGCAACACACCACCTCTCCTGTCCTGAGTACCATCATAACAGATGGAGCCCAAAGATATGGACTAACTGAACTCCAAGAAGGTTTTGTGACATTTTACAGGGATGATGCATAGACTAAGGGAATGATATCTGTGTACTAGACCAAAGGATGAGAAGTGGTGGTTCATGAGGATCTCTTGGCTAGTATGGGACCTGAGCATGACATAAATGGTATGGGAATAAGGGAGTGGAAAATGTTCTGGGTTTAAGTGGGATAGAGTTAATTTTCTTCACAGTAGCTGGTATTGGGCCATGTTTAAGATCTGTGCTTAAAACAGTGTTGGTAATACAGAGACTTTTTTTATAAAGGCCTGTTCTGCTGCTTGTGAGGAGGCTGAGGATGCACAAAGAACTGGGAGGGAACACAGCCAGGACAAACAAAATGCAGTGATCAAGGTGATATTCCAAACGATACGACATCATGCTCACCATATAGATCTGGGTGAAGAAGGAGAAAGGGGTAACATTCAGAGTTAGGGCACTTGTCTTCCCAAGCAACTTACAGAAACTTTTCTTTCCTCAGAATGGCTAAACACCTGTTTGCCCATGGGAAGGGGTGAAAAAATTCCTTGTTTTGCTTTGCTTCTGAGACTTGCTTTCCCTATTAAACTGTACCTCAACCCATGAGTTCTCTCACTCTTACTTTTCCAATTCACTTCCCCAGCACACTGGGGGAGAGTGAATGAGGATCTGTGTGGTCCTCAACTGCTGGCTGAAGTTAAACCATGACATTGCCTTACTTTTTTGGAGAATTCTGAAGTCTGGAGAATCTTGAATTTCAATGCCCTGTCGAAACCACTTAACATGAATGGGAGGGTGTCCTCTGATCCTGCATTCCAATACTACGACTTGTCCTTCAGATGCTGTGGCATTTTGTAGCTCCTGAAATATAAACATCAAAATTAAAATAAATCAGAAGCACTTTACACTCTTAAAAATAGTCTTTTCTTCCCTTTGTAATTAAGCTTTATTGTCATTACATTTTTGCAATAGACATTTTCTTTCATTCTGATTGAATTTAACATATCTATATCGTTAAAATTATTGAATATAATGTATTTACAAATACATTCTTAAAAAGACCAAAGATTGGAAAAATGCAGAAGTATTTAACTCCTCAAATTAACACAAGCAGATCACTGCAGTTTGAGCTCTCTGTTTTTGTTCTTCCACAAACTGAAATGAAAATTCTGGAACTAACTACACATTGATTGACTTTATCCTGAGAGAGTAGCTGAGATGCTTTTGGGTCCAGCTCTAGAAGATGGAGCTGCTTTTCATCTGAGCAATATATAACAAACCAAGCAAAATTAGACAACACCAATATGATTAGGATGTATTAACTAGTGTATGGATAGCTTCTGGGACAGTATTCTGGCTGTAATAAATCCTTGTACATATGTGAAAAAATTCCAGAAAAGTCTAGATCTTTAATGAAGTGCTGCAACCAGAGGGAAACACAATATTTTAAGTAACAGAATTGACAGGTGATAGCCACTATTTTTACCTATGTTATCTATCTTAAGATTACAAATCAAGGAGTCCTTTTTACTCTGCAGTGGCTGTCTCATTTCTTTTGCAATTTATTGACAAAGTTTTAGACCTTAGTGCAGCAAAGCACTTGAAATTAGGTCTAAGCTCAGAGTTATTCTAGTTTACATTCACAGATCTCTATTTAATCAAATACATAAGAATTTTGTTACATGGAAACCTGAAAATCTTTGAGCTGTTCCCTGAACTTTGCATGGGGAGAAATTTATGTCAAGCTGCTGGATTAAGTTTATATTTTGTTGTTCATATCTGGTTTGTTTCTAGTGTAATTACTTTTTTTGATTTTGTATGTCCTATCAAGTTAGTGAAGAATTTCAGGGAGAAGAGATATCAGCATCAGGAAGAAACAGCAGAGTTTTGATTGCTTTGGTAGTCTCTGGATGGGGGATGGACTTCACCTTTTTCCCACTTGTACCTGGAAATTGCCTGCTTCCCAGCCTTGCAGTAACCACATTCTCTAATCTCCCGTACCTCTGTTATTCACCCTCCTGTGACACCTGCAGTATGGGTGCAGAATTATAAGGGACAGAATCACACCTTTCTAGATATGAGACAGGAATATGCTGGAGCCAAGCTAGACAGCTATAGAGAGCAGGGCTTACTCTTACTCTTATCTCTAGGCAAAACTATTTGCAGCCCATATTAATTTTTAATCAAATGTTTTCCTGAAGTAATAACCAAAATACTTCATTTTGGCTTCAGCAAGTAGTGATTAAATAATAATTACTACTATGGAAATAATTGTTTGAGCCACACTGAAATAATATTTTCAGTTGAAGCTGTATTTTATAGATAGGGAAGCATGCCATCCTTCTTTTTGCTGCTTTGCTGCTTTTTGTTTCCCGGTTCTTAAGTTTGATTTGGGATGAAGGTGAAGATAAATATTGACTTAAGTAATTACCTAAGAAATACTGAGTAGAATTTTCTGAATAGAAACTTATATTCTAAAAAGTATGATCAGCAGGAGAAAGGATTGGCTCAGCACTGGTGAGGCTGCACCTTGAATCCCATGCTGAGTTTTGGCCCCCTCAGGAAAAACACTGAGGTGCTGGAGCATGTCCAAAGAAGAGCAACAAAGTTAGTAAAGGGTTTAGAGCACAAATCCTACGAGGAGCAGCTGAGAGAAATGGGGCTGTTCAGTCGTGAGAAACAGAGGCTTTGGGGGGGATGTAATTGCTCTCTGGGAATTTGTAATGAAGTGGGGGATGGCGTCTTGTTACAAGTAACATGCAATTGGACAAGAGGAAATGGCCTCAGGGGTGACACGGGAGGTTTAGATTGGATATTGGAAAAATTGTTTTCAGAGAAAGAGTTGCAAAGTAATGGCTACCCAGGAAAGACGCCATCCATGGAGGTATTTAAAAGCCATGTAGATGTGACACTCATCAGCATGTATAAGCAGTGGGCTTAGTTGTGCTGGGCTAATGGTTGAGCTTGATGATCTTAAAGGTCTTTTCCAACTTGAGTGGTTACAATTTTTTTCTAAATCAGAGTTAAAAAGCCTGTGTTATTTGTTCTTATCAGCAGGTAAATTATTGTGAATGAGATTTTGTCAAGACTATTATTAGTAATCAGTACTTACCTTGCTATAGTTTACAAAGATTTATCAATGGAGAGCAGTCCTGGCCATAAAAAAATTCATACAGAATATTCATTTATATCCACTAGTAGAATGCATAACAACTTCACTGTTGCAGTGGAGAAGTATTTTCTTAGGAAGTCATTGATACTGAAAAGTTTGAACTTGACCAAGCCTTCCTGCATTAGGACACATAATTTTGATATTTTCTTTTGGACTATAAGAGTATGAGATAAAAATCATGATGGATAAAACATACCTTTGTAAAAATAGGTGCAGAATAGATAGGCTTGGGTCCATCCAGATGGTGCAGGTATGAAGTAGGGCTTTGAACCTGCAAAGCAATGCAAGAATGCTGTGAAATGGAAAGAATACTTTCCAATAGTTTCAATGATACAGCCCCCGCATATATGCAAAAATGCAAACTCCCACATGTGCAGTCTTATTATGGTGTTCTCTTTCTACCATATTTCTTGGAAGACATCACTATTTCACATCTTTTATATTCTGAAATCAAAATGCAAGCTTTGAAGGCAGAATATACTTCCAATGAGAATTTTGTATCAGATTGTCTTTGCCTGAAAGTATTTTGAGAATTTGACTTCTGTTAATAGATTCAAGTAAATCTTTTGCAGTGAAGCATTTTTGCTTCTCCTGTTACTACATACCTTCACTGATGCAGTGATAAATAAACTCAGGTACCTAAAAGCTTATCAAGGTTGGCTCAAGGAAGGGAAAAGAACTTACCATGTACAGGATGATAGAGATTTTAATTTTGTTTGTATTTTATGATTTACATGTAAACTCTAAGTCAGCCACAGTGGCATTAAAGACTTAGCACATATGAATGAACAATGATTTTCTATATTTAACATCTAGATAGTAAAATTTATTTTTCTCTAAAAGGCCCAAAGAAATGACAACAATATTAAACTTAATAACAAAATTTAAAACTTTTGCTAAAATATATTGCTGGCAGAAAATATTCATTTGTAGTACATTCTTTTAGGACTAGAACAAATCACTATTAAGTGATAAACTCTGTAATTTTCATCATCACCAGATCTGTCTGCTGCTTAAATGCTGTGATACACATTGTGTAAGAATCCATATGTATATTTATTTTTATATCCCATTCAGTGGATAAATGCTTAATTTTTAAAAATTATCATTCTTAATATGGTAATGCATGTTTATAGTTTAACAATATAATTCCTCAAAATGATAGAGTTTTTCAGATGCTGCAAATCTTCAAAGAAAATTTGAAATACTCTTACTAATTTAAAAGTTGTCTAAAAATACCTGCTGACTGGGCATAGAGATAGGTTGAATTACAGCTGTGGTCACTCCTGATTTTGGTGTAGAAGATCCTATTGTCAAGGAAACAGAAGTGCTTTTCTTTTGGGCCCTGAAAAATAAAAATCCAGGAAGCACTTTATAGGATCTGAAATAACAATGTGTTAGTTTTTAATACGTAAGCCACCTTGTACTTTCTACATATTTAAATTTGACCTTATCAACTGAAAAGATCAACATGACTGCTGAAAATCAAGATGGATGAATGAAGCTTGAGTAGAACACAACCTCTGGCTAATTTGCACTTCTACGCACAATAAAAAGTACTGATTTAAGATGAAACTAAAATGTATTTTATTCTTTAATTGTAGTCCTCTACATATGTCTTTGGAGGCACTGGATTGGGTGACTATAAATGAAAACTTGGCTAACTTGAGCTTACTTTCAAGTATGAAAAGCTGATATTAACAAACACGTTGTCAGAATAAGGCCAGTCTTCTCTGACAGAACAAGTAAATTAATCCAATTTACAGTTATTATACTACACATTTATATCACATGAGAGAAGTAGAAAAGACAAGGCATACATAAGTATACCCCAGATGCTTATTCAGTCTGTAAAACTACCAAAGATTTTCCAGTATCCCTTATGAAGAACATTTACACAATATTGGTAACGCTTTACACACTTACTGTGGCATAGCTCCAGATTTTAATTGGAAAATTAAACTTTCACTCTCTGAATCTGTAGAACTGGCACCTGGAAAAGAAAGTTTTTTCAATAACCTCATATATTTTTATTGATTTATTTAATGTTTAATTTCCAAAGGAAAAACTATGATGCTTTTGAATCTCACTTCAAGAATTGAGAACCCTCTGTAACAAAGTTTGGCAGTTTTTTATCTGATAAAGATTGTAACTATGTACTTTAGACAGTTACAGAAATCATAACCATGCCAATTTAATTGCGCACTGCTTTCCCTGGGCTCCTAGCTGACTCCCTTCATAGTGAAACAAATATGGCCAAGGCAGAAAAAAAACAAAAAAAAAAGCAGAGTACTATTGCTCTATGGGAAATGTATAATTTTATTTACTTAAATTTTAAATTTGAAGCTTAACCAAACATATGGCTTATACAGATAACAAATCTTCGATCTTAAGTAAGAGCAACTCAGTATATCAAGACATTTTCAGACTAAACTTGCTGCCCATGATGTCCACATTTCAGACTATTTACATTAACCTACACATAACATTTATGTACTGCTGTTTCTTGCCAGTGAAGTCTTGATATAATGTATGTGTTTGGCAATACCCTGAGCTTATTTAAAGAAAAAAAAAAAGAAAGCATTTATTCCCTTTGTCCTAATTTTTCCTAATAGCAGATACTTCACACATTTATTCTAGACATTTATGCAGTACATATTATTCCTCAAGGAACTTGTGCATATATGTGGATAGCTGTATGTTTAATACAAACCATAAGCACTTCATAATCAGTATGCATAGTATAGCATAGACAGATTCCAATGAAACAATGCTGGGACTAAAATACCCAAGTACCCTATTGATTTACAAAGTTTATGCTGTAAAAAAAACCAAAGCAATAAGTAGTATAGAACACATGAGAATAGAGAAGCAAATGTCCAGTCATCAAAGTGGGTCTACTTGAAAGGATTTCTTAAGAACACAGAACAACCAGGTCTTGCATGGCTGGGCCTGCTGCACAAAAGAAAGTATCACGCATCAGTGTCATCAAGTCTATTAATGTACAAAGCAGTGCTTGTGTGGCAACCTGTTTCCTTTAAAAGTGACAGGGCATGAGCGCAATGACTTGTACAAGTCTCTCTCTTTCAAAGTAACATGTTATAAAACTTCAAAATAGGACTTCCATATAGCAAGACTGGCAGATGTCAAAGAATTAATTCTTTTATTCACAGCATCTCCCTACTTAGCTGTTTCATTTTTTTACTGTTGCTCCTGTCACACAGCAGTATGTATTTGTATTACACCTGAGTATTTCTGAAATCGTGATTACTACTGTAAAGGAAACCTCTACTAGAATCTTTAAGATTCAGAAAAGTCTTGGGGATTTTGCTCTTATATTCCAATAGGATATTAAGAAGTTCTGAGAATAAAGAGCATAATGAAAGAAATCCTATAAAGGCACATACATAATGATTTAGTTAATTAACAGCAAAAAGTTTTTTGTTTTGTTAAATAAAATCTATTGAATAATTTTGGTGTGTCATTATTCAGACTTCTTATAACTATTTCCTATGTTAATTTATTTTATGTTTTCAAGTGACCATTTAAATTAATTTTAATGAGTTACAAAGCTGCTAAAAGAATATATAGTACCCAATTTTTTGGGAGACATATGAATTAAAATAAAAATTGGTATTCAGTTAAAATAATCTTGCCTGAAATACAGTTCTGTGGTAAAAAATAACTTAATAATTTTACTCATGGTCATCATTAACTTTTTTCAGAGAAAATAATACTTCAATTATTACTAATTTTGCAGTTAGGAAATATTTTGACAATAACTAGCAGCTGTTTGTGAACAAAACCAGTATGACTGACTTTAATCTGACTCAAAATCAGTATACCAAAGACAATGGTACATTTACACATGACTAAGACAACTCATTTTGGGCAGCCACATATATTTGCACAGGGAGGCAAATATATTAAAACTGAGACAGGGATTACTGCTATCACGAAAATCATTATTACTAGTCAAATCATTAAATAGTGATTTACAGAGGTACCGCTTAAAAGCTAATGATATGCCAAAGTTTTTGCTGGTTCCTTCTATTTCATTCTTTATCTCTTTTCTACCCTAAATAAATAGCAATATACTCAGTGATTCCTGATACATTCCTTGAAATATCTGAATTAATATGATGTGATGTTCAAAATGTGTTGTGTTAAAGAAAAGCAGAGGAATACCATAAAAATACCACCATACTGAATGTAATGTTAAGATAAAGAACCAAAAGTAAACTTCAGCTTATTTATCCTTTCTTATATACATCAAGTATTTTATTATTTTATCTCTTACCTTCAATGAATATTTCAGCTGATGTGCTATCTGAACCAAAAGAATTTGAAGCCAGACAAGTATAGCGCCCAGTGTCGTCTTCAAAGGCTTCTACTATAATTAGTGAATGAAGTCCTCCACTTTCAGAATGGATCTGAATGTCAGGGGAATTCTGGAGTTCTTTTCCTTCACAGAACCATCTGCAGCCCACACACATTTAGAAAGACAAAGACAAAAAGAATATAAAGGATTGGTTCAGGCTCATCGCACACAAGAAGACATTACACTCTGCTGCAAAAATCTAAATTGCTACTGAAATCAGCACATGGTGCTTTGAAGTGTTTAAAAAAGAAAATATTTCACAAAGAAATAACTTGCTAGAATAAACTTTGTTTAAAAGGTAGGGAGACATTTCTGAATACTAAGAAAATTGTACACAACACAACTACATTTAAAAACTATCTCCTGGTAAATGAGTTTTTCCTGCACAAGTTGTGTATTGGCTTGTTTTGACCACGGTCTAATTAATTTTGATATAATTTATCACTACCATCTACCTAAACTCTGCTGATTCTGCACACAAAATTTCTGAATTTGCAATCTGTAGCACAGGGTCTAGCTGGAGGCCTGTCACTAGTGGTGTCCCCCAAGGGTCGATATTTGGCTTAGTACTATTCATCCATGCTTGGCTGGATGAGAAGGTGCCTCCTCAGTAAGTTCACTGATGACACAAAGCTGGGAGGAGTGGCTGATACCACAGAGTGCTGTGCAGCCCTTCAGAGGGACCTTGGCAGGTTGGAGAGATGGGCAGAGAGAAACCAGCTGAAATTCAACAAAGGCAACTGCAGGGTCCCACACCTGGGGAGGAACAATTATGCATCAGTATAGGCTGGAGGCTGGTGGACACCCAGCTGTCCATGAGTCAGCAGTGTCCTTGTGGCCAAGAGGCCAATGGTGTCCTGGGTTGCATTAAGAAGAACATTCCAGCAGGTCAAGGGAGGCAAGGGAGGTGATCCTACCCCTTTACTCAGTTCTGGTGAGACCTCGTCTGGAGTGCTGTGTCCAGTTTTGGGCTCCTCAAGAATAAAGAGTCATGGAGCTTCTGGAGCTCCTGTTGAGAGGGCAACAAAGATAATTAAGGGACTTTAGCATCTCTCATATAAAAATTGGCGATGGGCCTGTTCAGCCTTGAGAAGAGACAACTGAGATGGGACCTCATGAATGTATATAAGTATCTGAAGGGAGAGTATCAAAAGGATGGATCCAGATTCTGCTCATTGGTGTCCAGCAATAGGACAAGAGACAGCAGGCAACTGATTCACAGAAAGTCCCCACCAGAATATTAGGAAGAACATCTTTACTGTGTGGTTGACTCAGCACCAGAAGAGATTGCAGAGAGAGGGTGTGGAGTCTCCCACACTGGAAATACCCAAGAACTGTCTGGATGCAATCCTGTGCCATGTGCTCTGCTTGAGCAAGGAGGTTGGGACAGATGCCCCACTGTGGTCCCTTCCAACTGACTCATTCTGTGATTTTCATCCATCTTGTCCAGTCAACCTAATGTAATCCCATGGCACAGGTTCTATATTGATAAGCTTTAAATAGGTTTACTGTTGCTTCAGATCAAGAACATAAACCGGTTTCCTAGGCCTGGATTTTTATGTGTGTAAGCAATACATCTTCCACTACCAAAAAGGTATGTCCCAACAAAAGCGATGGATTTAGGTACAGACAAAACAGACACTTATCTAGGGTGATTTATAAGTACATAAAAGCACAGCATAATTTTGTTTACATCAGGTCAATCAAACATTCACCAGTGTAAGCTACTTTGTGTTCTCAGCCCATACTGCTGCCATGAAAGCACCTGTTCCCACTTTTTTTCTGTTTGATGCCCTCATATCAGGTAGTCCTATTACCCTGGTCTATGCCCTGATTTATCTCTATCTCTGACAGCCCCGCAAGTATGAGAAGTCACTAATTCTTGGTTTATAGTGTCTGCTGTGCATTTTTGCAGGGAGCAGAGGCAGATTGGAGAGTCATTAAAAGAAAATCACTGACGAGCAACCATTCTTCTGTTCTCCAATGGTCCCTATATCCTGAAAACAAATTTGGCCAAGCCTTGCCAGGGCTGTTATTCCCATTCCAATCCTGCAAACCCACTCTGATCTTTAGCATTCTTTCTTCCCTTCTTCTTGCTCCATAATCTTAATCTGTTTTTCCATGTCCTCTCCCTTCCCTCCTTTCCCTCTTCTTCCTCTGCCACCCCAGTATTTAAATCTTGCTCTAACAAGAACAAGGACAAAATGAGGAATTATTGACAGCAAGCTTCAAAAGGGATCTTCCTCCCCAAACTTTTAGTTGTCTACTCTAGTATGGGTTTTTTTCATAAATTAACAAATATAACCTCAGAAATTTATGGATAGTCAATGCAAAGTAAAAGATCATCAAATTGTTAAAACTAATTTAAAAATAATTAAAATTTGCTGCAAAGATTTGGTATTTTTCCTTTAATTTGTATGTGTTGATGAGAGAATTTTTGCAGTTACATCCCAGTAATACTTCAAATTAAATTTTTTCCCCTCTATCAGATGACTTCCCATTACCCCCGAAAACCAAAATAACCCCAGGGAGTTCCTAACTATTTAGGAAAAGCATACAACACTTCAGGATGACAGATACTGCAAAACAACAGTCAGTGAGTAGTCTTTAAAATTTAACTGCCTCACTTTTATTGTTCTTTTTAATTGAAAACTTCATGCCATTAACATAAATAAAAATGTTTTAAAACATCCTTCTGAAAATATTGCATTGTAAAACTTGAAATGTCATGGTTATTTCAGAATGCAGAGTTAAGAAATCTACCAGGTTTACACATAACACAATTCCCCTCAATAACATAATAATTGTGGGCAAACTCTCTGTGTTAATGAACAATATATATTTTATTCCTGAAGGCAAAACCCTCAGTTTGTAGTGGCATTAAAGCTTTATGCAATTGTCTTCAGTAATTAAAATACTAACAAGTTCCTTTTCTGTCTTCTGTTACCTAGATAGTGCACAAAGTATCATTTTTGGAAAGAACTAACAAACTTCCATTTGTTTACTCAGCAGACCCCTTTGGCCTACTTTTACAACTATTTGCCTTGGAGACAAATCTATTCTGTCAGCTCTACTGCCAAAATTAACATTTCTCTTCCCCCTCTTCCCCTCCTTTTCTCTTGTCACAAGTCGTCCCTTCTACCAGTGTGAGGACCTCTGCTACTATTTCTGATTATTAGACCTTCAGAGTCCTAACCTCTGTGTAGCCTTTCCTAAGCTGCATTTTAAACAATATGCACAAGAGAGAAGTTAATTCAATTTCTAGACAATCACAGACAAGAGCCTGTAATATGAGGCCCTACATAACCATTTGTTCTATTTTTCTTTCCTTTCCAGAAACATCCTGCAAAGGAAAACCTCTCCTCCAAGCCTAATTATTTTCTCAGACAGATCCCATTTTAGTTTAATGCAAGCTGTATGGCTTTCTATTGTTTCCTAAATTCTATGTTCACAAAATGCTTAAGAAATTGTCTTAAGCATGAGAACTTAAACAACAAAAATATCCATTTATATGTGTTTGTCAGATAACAATAAGTAAACTGTTTTCTTAGGAGGACAAGTTCTACATTGTCCCTTGATTTGTTCATGGTCAGTCTCAAATAGTGGGAGCTATTCCTCAGCACTAGCTGGGATTAAGACTTGTATCACATCAGTGTCATACTGAAAACGAGTCCTGACCTGCTTCATCAGACACTGCCTGCCCCAGAGGAAAGCACGTAAGTAAGCAATTCAATACCAAATTACCTCAGCTGTCATTAAGGCAATATTTGATGCATGGGAAACACACCTGGTGTGGGACTCCACTGTTTATTGTGGAAAGAAGAATTCACCTTCACAATTGGCAAGAGCACAGGTATTTGAAATGATGAACACTGGAAGAGGCTTAATTGTACTCTCTTTCCTTTTCTAATTGTATTTTCTTTTCTGTGTATGTGTTGATAAAAGAGGAGGACTACTTGTCATGAATTTTTTTTTGATTACATCAAAATTAGGTGAATAAGAAAATACTCAATTGAAATACTTATTCAGCAATAACTTCCCAGTTGCCAGTTCAGTTCAAGAGAGTTTGTGAAATAAAAAAAGGGTCATAAAATGAAAATAAGTGAAGTACTTTTTCCCCAAACACAGACCAAATGCCACTTTTTCATCTTTTATATATATATTTGTACAATCAGCCTTACTGCGTTACAGTCAGAATAATCATAGAGGAGAATTTTCTGCTTCTAAGGACTGAAAAAGATTCAAAGACAAATCTTTGAAGCATTCCCTCTTACTGTGAAGGATCACTAAAGCAAGCAACAAATCACTATCAAAGGGAAACTGAGCCAAAGAAACCAGGACTCATGGCTAGACACAGAAAAATAACCACAAAGCAAGTCTTACAAGAAAATTCCAGTTTTATGCTAACTAGGGCAGCAGTAACTCATGTCCAGTCTATTCCAGCCTACTGATCCTCTTGGGGATAAGAGGATTATTTTCTAGTCCTGAGAAGACAACAATACTTCTGGAGAGTTAAAACACCCCAAACCAAACCCAACCTGAAAGAAAATAACACAGAGGAACAAAGGCACAGCAGATGCTTTGAGAAAAAGAAAATTCTCTACATAGAGACCATTGTTTTAAAAGATACCTCTTTCATAACTTCTGGATACCAAGTGTAAAAACAGCAACTCATTTCCCTATCCCTTTGTTGCAGGTTCTCAGTATGGCATTAAGTGTGCAAATAGGAAAAAACCAGGCAGAGACACCAACAAAAGGTGTACATATCAGTCCCCAGAATAAGTCCTCCAGCTTGCACCATGGGTGCATTCCTGCAGGCTGTGCTACAGTTCATGCAAAACTGTGGAGAACTGTCCCCTTGAAAAAGAACAGAAACTACGGCAACGTGTCAGATAATGGCTGACCAATTAAAAAAAAAAAAAAGAGGAACATACACTCTATATAACTGAAATCAATTTTATTAGTCATTCTCTATCTTGCCAAATTTCAAATTACACTGCAGTTTTCTGCTCTTTCCCACTTTTTTCTTCATTCTCTTTCCACCATTTCTCTTCCTGTGTACTTTTCCACTCCTTGCCTTGCTTTTCTTCAACGATGC